TGGGGGCGATATGCTGACTCTGTAAACCGCTTAGAGAGGGCTGAAAGCCCTATGAAGCGGTATGTAAGTCTAACTGCTATTGCTATTGCTATTGCATTCTTCATATAGATAGCATGGACTGTTTAGCGCAAATGCTCAAATGTCCTCCATATGAAAAGTACCCATAATTTAACCTCATTTTAGCAGTTCACAGAACAGTTTATGTTGATATAATTTAGTTGGAATAGGTCAGATGCCAACAGTGTGTTAGTTTTAATTAGATTTTTTTATTTAATTAGATTCTGTGATAAGCTTAAGGTATCTATTTTCCCAGATTGAATTCTACTGTGAAGCCATGTAATCACAATCTATTCCTTTAATATCCACGTTCTAATTTTATTTTTAAAAAATTTGATGCTCCTCCACAGTTAAGTAGCAACCAGCTATGGATTATTGGAAATCTTACCTGATTAGTTTGGTCAAGGGAAAAATGATTAAGACTGTTTTAAAAAATCTGGGAGCCTTATATGACTTTTCAAAAACTATAAGCAATTTCTCTTTCCGTATTAGTTTTAATAAGCATTTCATAGCTGATGGTTTAAACCAATTTCCTTTTATAACTGTTAACCTTTTCATTTTAAAAAAATAGTCTTAATTGGTTTCTTTTCACCACTGAGTACAATTCTTTTCTCAATAGGTTAGAAAATGGATGAAACAAGATTAGCCAGTTATTTATTTCATTTTTCAATTCCAATTCTTAGGATATTTTTTTAAAGAAAATATTGTAGGGCTTTTTACCTATTCAGTAATTGTAACAGAATAACATAGTTGGAAAGGACCTTGGAGCTCTTCTAGTCCAACCCTCTGCTTAGGTAAGAAATCCTTTACCATTTCAGACAAACAGTTGTTGAATCTCTTCTTAAAAGCCTCCACTGTTAGAGCACCCTCAACTTCTGGAGGCAAGTTGTTCCACTTCTAGTTATAATTGTTAGAAAATTTTCTTTAGTTCTAAGTTGGTTCTCTTACCGAACAGTTTCCATCCATTGCTTCTTGGTCTGCCCTCAGGTGCCTTGGAAAATAGTTTGACTCCCTCTTCTTTGTGGCAACCCCTGAGATATTAGAACACTGCTATTATGGTATTGGATCTGGGTACTTGAGAGACCGCCTACTGCCAATTACCTCCACTAGATCGATAAGATCCCACAGATTAGGCCTCCTCCGAATTCCATCTGCCGGCCAATGTCGTC